AGTCAGCGTGTCCCCAGATCCCTTTGCTTGGGTTCCTTTCTCGCTTCCTTCCGGAGCTTCCCTCTTCGCCTCCTTCCTCGCTGCGCAATGGCGGCTGTACTCGTCCCGGAGGTTCCCGAGCGAAAGGACTTCCTTGGCCATCCTGTCAACCCCGAACGCAAGCACTTCGCGACGGTGCTTGGCCAGGAAGTGTTCGTAGAGCTCGACGTCTGCGTAGTTCAGCTCCCGGAGCGTCCTTCGCATCTCGGGGTCCAGGGCGAGCTTCTTTCTCCTGCCGCGACTGTTCTTCTTGAAGGCAACCACGTCGTGGAGGCTCCAGCACAGCAGGTGGCGCAGCAGGATCAGAGACTCGTCCCAGTGCTCGTAGATCAGCACCAGGTCGAAGAGTCGGTCGAGCTCCTCAACAGCCTGGTGCAGGGGTTCGCCGGAGATGGAGTCTGGGTAACCCATCACGAAGGTCATCTGGTTCTTGCCGAAGAAGCCCCTGTACCTGGGAAGGGAGATGTTCTGGAACAGGCGATTAGGCACTTTAAACGGAGATATATCAGAGTGTGTTTTGTAAGAAAAAAAACAATGTATCCCAAGATAGACCAAAATCTGTTGCGTACGATAAGCCAAAATTTGCAGAACATCTCCAATCTGATAAACCAAAATCCATTTCCTAGGAGAGAACAAAATGAGAACAAAGTGTATTTATATACATCTAGTACTTGGGCTCGTATTCAATCTATAGTTGATTTGAAAACTAAGGATAAATCCTTTTGGTTTAATTAGCCTTTTATTTCTTTTAATTCTACATTGACCATTGAGAATCTTCTTACGACTGCTTAAGAAACCTCGGAAAACTGGACTATAATGCAACAAGATAATTGTAATCACATTTAAACTCTTTAATCTTCATTATTAATTTTCTCCAGTTTAAACGTCAGCCTGTCAGTTTCATCTTTTACATTCAGGCCACTTTTAAAATATCAAACATTAATTTCTCTTTCATACCAATGGAAAGAGGCCGTCATTATCCACTGATCTTGCTGGCTAACTGACGTTGCTCTTTCAGCTCGTCATGTGTCTTTAATCCTTGGGCAAGGCATAGGAGCTGAGTACCGAGTTAATTCATGTATGAAATAGAGAATCATGAAGACTGGGTGATGAGAACACGTGATAATTAACCTGTCCTCGAACAGAATAAGTTTCGTCTTTTCCCCTGACACATTATCACTAAATTGTGCATCTACACAGAAAATTATCATTGAGAGGGGTGGCAAAATATTCAATAACGAACAGGACCTTATGTTACAGAAGGGTTGGTATTTAAGGTTTCGAAAATGACTCGTTCTAATCAATGTCTCGAATAGTTGTTCTGGAATTCGAATGGATTCACTGCGAGATGATTTTATTCCTGTAAGGAATGGAACATGACTTGCATTATTCAGATAAGCCACACAAAAACCCAAACGTAGTTGGAAAATCCGAGATACCAACAGTTTCGTAGCTATTGCAGATTGTTTAGCATAATTTTCTTGACGAAACAAACTACATGGAGCCCGTGTGATGATTTTTGAGGCTTGTTCTTAAATGTTTTCTTTGTACTTGTCTACAACTCTAGTTAAACCCTTATAATTTCCCATTTAGGAGAGAGTTGCTTTGGTCTGTACCCTTCCTTAATACCCTTTCTTGGATCATGATAATGATAAGGATGAAAACGCATAATAATGACAATAATAAAGATGACTTTATTTAGGCCCAGAAAGAGAAAATGAGAAGCCAGATAAATAAATAAATTACACTAATGTAACATCTTGCAACAGGTTTAGACAAAATAAAGAAAATAGGGATAATAATAACTAATAAATAAAATCATCTTGTAACTCACGGCAACTGGGATGTCCTTGAACTCCGCAAGATCCTTCTTGAAGTACATCTTGAGATTGAAGTAGTTGTAGAAGGACTCGAACTGACTGGCCGGCTCCCGAAGGACGGTGACCCAGCGGGCGTCGCTGTGCAGGACCTTCATCTGCTCCTCGAAGGCGACGCGGGTGTGGAGGGCGAAGATGTCCGCCTTGCCCTCGGGCGGAAGGAGGCGCCGGGGGATCAGGCTCGGCTGCGGGCGGGGCGGGCGGGCGGGCAGGCCGTGAGGTTCGTTTGGGGTGGTTCGTGGTTTGTTTGTGTTTTGTGAGTGTGCGGAGAGAGAGTATGTGTGTGTGCGTGAGAGAGAGAGTATGTGTGTGTGCGTGAGAGAGAGAGCATGTGTGTGTGAGAGAGTGTGTGTGCGTGAGAGAGAGAGATGTAGAGAGAGTGTGTGTGTGCGTGAGAGAGAGAGAGTATGTGTGTGTGCGTGAGAGAGAGAGCATGTGTGTGTGCGTGAGAGAGAGAGAGCATGTGTGTGAGAGAGTGTGTATGTTCGTATATAAGTTAATATATTTCATTGCCATACAGATCCATCAATAAACTTTTTCTCGCCTTGGACCGTCTTATCAGGTGCCAGATAGCGCACCATATAAGGTCTTAGCGTCTTAGTTCCCTCTTACCTCGTAAGTCCGGTGATCTTTTTAAGTTCACTTTGTTTCCCATTTCATATGAAGAAATAAGTACATATATTATATATATATATATATTATATATATATTATATATCTATATCTATTATCTATATATATATATATATATATAATATATATATATATATATATATATTATATTTTCGAATTTGCTTCGCTTTTTCATGTCTCGAATAGTTGTTCCTGAATTCATGCCGATTTTATTCCCGTAAACAATATGTCTTGCATTGTTCAGATAAGCCTCACATGCTCATAAGTAGTTGGAACATCAGACAAAACAATCATTTCGTAGCGTTACTAACTATATTAAAAAAAAAAAACATCCTTTGTGTCAGAATGTTTAGCATAATTTCCTAACGATGTTTATTCAGTGCTGCTGGACATGCAGTATAGAACTATTTATGATGAAATCTATTTTTAGCTTGACTCAGGTTAGTCTTACCTCGCTTTGGCATGTAATGGAAGTTGAAATTAGTGTTCTTAGCTATCAAACTTTTTTTGATTTGGTGCCTTTGAGAGAAGCCACTATTATAATGAGGTTATTTTCTTAACAGCTAAATCAATTAGTTATTAATTACTTTCAGGACAATAGCACTTGATTTCTTTGATTTTTTATTAATGGTTTTATAATAATTTGAAAGCAACAGATATCATTCAGATGGTTGTTAGATTTTAAGTAAATTGCATCAATTTTTAAGTGACCAATGCTTCTCTTTCACCTTAAAACTTACGTTGTGAATTCCAGTGATCGTGTGTTCACCTGAGTTTAACATACTATGAGTCAAATCGGAAATTATCAAAACGAAAGAAAAAAAAATGGAAATTACATGCTATTACACGCCACTAATGAGTTCGAAAGAGTGTAGTTGACAGGAAGTTGGATGTGGAGGAAAACACAAATTCGTCCCTACTTGTAGCTAATATCATGTCGGTTTATCTGTATTAATATTTCCTTTATTTTTTAGTATTTGTATAATATTGAATTAAAATATGAGATCAAATCCTGTAGGCGATGTGGATGTACTAATCTCCCAACACACACATATTCAGCTTAGTTAGTTGATCAGTCGTGATTCGTTACGATTGTGAAAAAAGGAAAACAAAACTTTTAAATGAAGCATGCTTAAAAATATTCGTTTCAGTCCTCCAAGAAGTACAGCATAAACTATGAATATCAGTGAAAGGCCCTTTTACATGGCAACAGTAGTAGTAGTCCTAGTAGTAGTAGCAAACTTTGACTATCTGTGGAAGGCACTTTTAAAGAGATTTAAAAGATTTTAAAGATTTAATTCAGTTCCACGTTACAATGGATATTCTTTACTGTGACTTTTTAATCTTCCCCTGTGTGCAAAGAATAGCTGGGGTTACAATCCACTGGTAGCGCGCAGGATCGAACGCATGTCAAGCAAGATTGCAAGACCAGCACTTTGCCACTGCACAACACAGTAGCAGTAGTACAGGTTTAACAATAGTAAACTATAACTCACTTTTGATAGCAAGATATTTCAAATTTCTTGAAAAGTCTGAAAACTTTTTGTTCATTCCTGTTTTTGATGGACCTTCTTAATCAGATATCTTTGTATGACTACGTACACATACCAAACATTTTCAAACTACCTCCAGAGGAAGCCTGCTACAGTTTCATGACGTCACAATTGTAAACAAACCGCCAACATGGGCGACAGAAATGAGTGATCTCGATCAAATTTTTTTATTAAACTACATATATTGTCGGTAATAGATTATATAAACTACCAAGCTAGGAATCAGCTGGGGTATATTAGCTATATTATTCTCTAGACGATAAATTCCAGTTGCTTATTATTGTATTAAAGCCATCATGGGATTATTCGAAGAGCATTTTCATGTTTTTATTTTAATTCTAAACTCCCAGTTTGGAAGACCTATCTAATAGCAGATTTAATCTGTTGCCCCATTTATTATTATAATTTTTAATTAATCAATTTTTTGTGCAACAGAATATGTAAAAGACCTTTTACATTTCTTATACCTTTATTTTCATTATCTACTAAACCTCATTTAATTCACCATCATTACTAATTACATCTATTGTATTTTTCTATTATCATTACTATTACTATTTCTAACAATTACTCCTGTCCCCCACTACGAAGGGGAATAAGTCTGTACACATTGCGAATATTTATCTACTCTTATAACAAGCTGTAGGGACTGTTTTTGACGATTTTTGCGAGACGAAGCAAACCGAGCGAAAGTATTGCTTGTTCGCGTTTCCCGTCAAAAAATGCGTATTATAACTATCAGTGGAAGGTACTTTTATATAACTAGTAGTAGTAGTTAGTAATAGTAGTATAGTTGTAGTTGTAGTTGTAGTGTAGTTGTAGTAATAGTAGTTGTAGTTGTATGTAGTTGTAGTAGTAGTAGTTTAGTTGTAGTTGTAGTAATAGCAATTGCAGTTGTAATTGTAGTACATATATAAACACTTACTGATGACTTACCTTAAAACCATAAGGATACCCTAATAAGTTATGTTTTTCGGGTAAAGCAAAGATGAGATCGTTCTTGTAGCCATAACGCAGGAAAATATTCTGCAAAATAAACCTATTAAATGTTTCCATAACAAAAAAAAATTAATTTATAATATCGTAAAACCATGTATTCATAAAGAAGTTAGTAAAAAAAAAAAAAAAAAAAGCATATTACCTTCATCACAGCTTGTAAAAAAAAAATAAACAAAAAAATAATAA